TTGCATTTATCAACAGAGTGGGGTTCAAGATTGTCACTTAATATGATTTCATTGGCTACTGTGAATGCGAACATGTCGTCGATGATTATTTCATTCCAATCCCACAATTCATTAGTACAAGCATAATTTATAGAGATTTTTTTTGCTTTTATGTACCTCTGTTTCTTCGAGTATATGTGTCTTATCGAGGACATTTACTTTTTCAGAAAGTATAGAATCATGAATTGTGGATTTGTCATTTATTTTCTCTTCTTGATGATTTCATTTGGATTCAGTTGTGCCATTGTCTTTCTCTTTCGAGATGGCTAAATCTTTTGAACCTGGAGGTCTACCACGCTTCAGGCGTGCACCAGATGAATCATTCGCTGCCATTTTATTTTGTCCAACATATCAATTCTTGCAGGTGCATTTGTAGCTGTTATATGTGATTTTGTCACTTTCATAGCATCATTAAATGCACATGACATTTGATTAACAATACTTTGAAGATGAACTATCATTTTTACTTCATTTTCACATTGAATGCTTCGAGGATCAAAATGAGATAAGTGGGAACAACCCATGTCAGCTCTTGTCGTTCTTCTGGGACAGTTTTTTCTCCCCCTAACAATGGGAAGACTGTCTCATCAAAGTGACAATTAGCAAAATGAGCTGTAAACATATCACCTGTCAAGGGTTCCAAATATCTAATGATAGATGATGAATTAAAACCCACATAAATTCTCAGTCGGCGCTGAAGTTCCATTTTAGTGCGTTGTGGTGGTTCAATAGGTACATAAACAGCACAACCAAAAACTCGTAAATGTGAAATGTTTGGCTGATGTCCAAACACGAGTTGTACTGAGGAGTATTGGTGGTTGGCTATATGTCTTAATCGAACCAATGATGTAGCATGTAAGATGGCATGTCCCTATGCAGAAACTGGTAATTTTGTTTTCATGAGCAGCGTGCGGGCTATTAACTGAAGCCGCTTGATCAATGCTTTTGCTAAAACATTTTGAGTGTGGACATGAGGAATAGAGTGTTCAACATCAATGCCGAATGTCATGCAGTAATCATCAAAGGTTTGAGAGATAAATTTACCAGTGTTATCAAGTCGGATTGACTTAATAGGGTAATGGGAACTGTGCTCGCAACTTAATTATCTGAGCAAGAAGTCTCGCAAAAGCTACATTCCAAGTAGACAAGAAACAATCATGTGACCATTGGGTAGATGCATTAACCAAAACCATAAAATATCGGAATGGTCCACATGATGGTTGAATAGGCCCACATATATCCCCTTGAATTCTTTGCATAAATGATGGGGATTCAGCATCAACCTTTAATTGTGATGGTCTAATTACCAACTTCCCTTGAGAACAAGCCTTGCAAGGGTTATCATTTGAGATAATGATGTGTCTGCTCAATAATGGATATCCATTAAAGTTGGTAATGATCCTATGCATCATGGTAGATCTTAGGTGACTCAGACGGTCATGCCAAAACATGTAAACTTTTGAATCAATGAACTTATGGTTCATGACAGTACGTGATTCAACTGTCTTTATGTATGTATAATACAATCCACTTGTCAAACCATGCAACTTCTCCAATATACGCTTCTAGGTATCATTGGAGGTAATGCATAGATACTCCACATTTTTTGCACTATTCATTTCAATGTGGTATCCATTTAAACGTATGTCTTTAAAAACTCAACAAATTTCAAGTAGATCGAGTAGCGTACAACGCATTCTGTATGGACAATATTGTTCGATTTGGTAACATAATCTGGGCTTTCCCTGAGCCTTCAATTACATCTGAAGGGCCTGATATTGTTGTTACCCTTACTTTTGTAAGCATCAATCTTGAGAAATACTTTTGATCTCGAAGTATTGTATTTGTGGTTACGCAGTCTGCAAGACAAATATCTTTGTCATTTCTCATCAAAGTTTTTGGGAGCATTATTCATTTGAGTATTGCTTTTGTGGCGATTCACATTTTTAAAGCTCCGGCCTAAATTATGCCTTGGAACCTAGTTATGAAACTGGACACCATGATTCTTGCCTTTTCCGTTCCACTGTCCTTGCATGTGGCTACGTCCTCGTTTATGATTATTGCCATCAGAGAATGTGGCGTTCACTTCGAGGGAAACATCATTCACTTCTGGGAATGATGCAGATCCAGTAGGTTGAAACTGATGATTTTTTATTATGACCTCATTGTTTTGTTCAGCTACCAGGAGCACAGATATCAGCTAGCTGTATTCAGTGAAACTTCGCTCTCTATATTGCTGCTGCAAGAGCACGTTTGATGCATGAAAGATGCTGAAAGTCTTTTTTAGCATATCTTCCTCAGTGATGGTTTCCCCACAAAGTTCCATCTGAGAGCTAATTCTGAACATCGCAGAATTGTACTCAGCTACTGACTTGAAATCCTGGATCCTTAGGTGAGTTCACTCATAACGAGCTCTTGGAAGAATCACCGTTTTTTGGTGATTGTATCTTTTTCCCAATGCCTTCCAGAGAGCTAACAAATCTTCAACCATTAGGTACTCGCTTTTTAGTGCTTCATCAAGGTGGTGACGGATAAAGATCATGACCTTCGCCCGATCTTGAGAAGATGCACTGTTCTCCTCCTTGATTGTTTCTCCAAGATTCCCTACCTCCAAATGGATCTTGGTGTCCACTACCCAGGTAAGGTAGTTCTTCCCAGTAATGTCCAGGGCTACAAAATCAAGTTTTGCCAAGTTTGCCATTTTTCTGAAAGAAAAATGAGATGTGTAAGAACTTGGAATAATATGTATTCTGGAGGTATGTAGTGTTAGAACTTCTGGTTCTTACAAAGTTTTTATTTTGATATTTAGGCCAAAATAATAAGTACTCGAAACTTCACGCTCGAGATTTACATGATGAATGAGGAGGACGATTGTACCGCATCATTCTCAATGAAATAACATAACATAGGAAGAACGATTATTCCGCATCACTCAAGTATCAAGAAAATTTAAATACGTAAAGCAGGGTGGGCGATTATACCGCACCACCTAAAATGGCAATAAAATTAAATAATAGGCAAATTAAATATGTAGGGTAGGGTAGGCGATTATACTGCTCCACGTAAAATTTGCAATAAAATTAGATCTGCAGTCCAAGATAGGCGATGATACCGCACCATCTTGGATTGCAATAAGATTAAATTTCCAGTTCAAGATGGGCGATTGTACTGCATCATCTTGGATTGCAGTAAAATTAACATAAATAAACACTGGGTTAGTAATTAAGATCTACACCAAACAAGAAATCAAAGATATATGTAACTGTTAGGTTGAGAACTAAAAACAAGTATGCTGCAAACAGTTTTTCGCGAGGTATATCCAACAGTTGAGGCAGAGGAAGAAGATGAACAGTAAAATCCTTAGAGGAAATTATTTTTTTTCTTTCGTTTGGCGAAGAGAAATGAGAAATGGTTAGATTTTAGAGAGTCGTGCTAATAACGTGTTATAAATAGGTAAAAGTTAGAGAGATAACCTTTACTAGTAACAGAAGCGAAGTAAGGGTAAAATATCACACTGTAACTATAATTCAAGGGGATGACAAATAAAAGAGGAAGAAATAAATACTGATGTTAATGATTTGTCCTTTCTGTTTTTTGTGTGTTTTGATAGAAATCGAAGTGCTCTAGTTATAGAGCAACTGTATACGAACATATTCTTACATTTTGAAATTTATAGCACATGACTTTGAAAATACGATCACCTTTATTTCCAGAGTCTACATCACTTTGTGTGGATATTGAAAAAACTATGTGGGCATTCATTAAGCTGCCAACGGTTTCAACATTGTCAATGTTTTCAACAAATATTCATTTATTTGGAAGAAATCGTACAAAATAGAGGATAACCGACCCAAATCTTTGTCTAGCCGCCTCGACCTGCATTTCCTTTACCCGTTCCCCAGCCCCAGCTAAAATTGACTATTAATTTCTTTCTAAAATTGACTATTTAAGAGCCTTGGGCAAGACCAATACAAATAGCATTGTGAGGACAAGCTGATAGAATAGTATTGGAAGTATGAGGTATATGTGCATTGTGCCTTTGCAAATCTGAGTGGTTTCTGAGGAGCTTTTAATTGGGTTCTTTTGATTTAGTCGTCTTGCTCTACTATTCTTCTTAAGTTGTTTGCATTGAGTTGAGTTTTATGCTTAATGTCATGTGTTTATGAGCAAATTATAATCTTGTAATGTTATGTGACAGATCCCACACACATTAGGTAGTTTATATAATGTCTCAATCAAATATGGAAGCGGAAGGTGGGGAAGAAATGGAAGTGGACGAAGTAGATGAAGAAATGGAAGTGGAGCAAATGGTGGAAGAACAAATTGAAGAAGAAGAAGAAGAAATGGAAGTGGAGCAAATGTGGAGAGATGCTCATAATGATAACAATGCGAATGGAGGATAATGAGTCACAAATAATTCTAGTGAGGTAGTGATGAATTTTTGATGATGTTCTTGCAATGTTAGGTTTTGTGGTTGTGTTCGAGAAAGCAAAAAAGAAAGAAGAAAATATTAATTGTAATGATGAATTTTTGACTAATATAAGGTTTTATGGTTGTGTTTGAAACTTGGAATTTGAAATTTCATTTGATTGCTTAGTTACAACGATTACATTATTATTCTGTGTATTTGAGTTCATGATTGTGCTTGCTAACACTTCAAAATTATTGTTAATGGATCTCCTTTGATTCAAAACGTTTATGTTTCTTTTTCATTATTTCATTTTATGTTATAAGATTCAACTAATAAATCCTAAGAAATCTACGAAAGAAATCCATACAAATACATAGAAATTTATAATAAAAATTTATATAAATCTGTCAAAATCCATAAAGAATTAAGAATATTTTAAAATCCTTTAAAATCTGTTATAAAAAAAATCTATTAAAATCATGTGAAATCCAAATCCACTGCACCCAAACTTTTCTTTCTAAAATCTCCCAAACTTTTCTTTCTTTTATATTTATTGGGCAAGGCGTATTTTCTCTCTCATTCAGGTCGGCGACACTGCGACAAACCTGAAAAAAAAGCCTCTTGCCTTCTTACTGTCCAAACCCCCACCTTTTCCTCCGGAGAAGAACCTCCAAAACCCTAGAAATTCAAATTCAACGGCTCAAATTCCATGTTTTCTTGACAGGCACTCGAAAATCACAGAGAATGGGTCGCCCCGAGCCTTGTGTGTTGTTCGCCCAGACCTTCGTCCACCCCCATCTCGATGAATACGTCGACGAGGTTCCTCTCTCTCTGCCGCAATTTCTGAATTTTCAATTGTCTGCCATTCGGTTAATTTAGTCCCTGTTCTGCAATTAGCATACGAATTTTGATTTGTTAGTTACTCTTACTTTCTATGAAATCTGTATTGCCAATGCATTACTGCACCGTGTGTATAAAGTACTAATTTTTTTTTTTGAATTTATGCTTGCTTTTTCTTTCCATTATTTAAATGTTACTCATTCAAAGCGAATTGTGGGTTTTAGGTATTGTTTGCTGAGCCCATTGTCATCACTGCCTGCGAGTTCCTTGAACAGAACGTGTCTTTTGCATCTCAGTCAGTAACACTTCTCGGGTAAGCGGCTTTACTGTTTGGAGTTGTTTCAGCCTTTACCTTTGTTTGTGTATTTCAGAATATTGTGATTCGATCTTTTAGATTAAGCCTGAACATGAACATGCTGGTCATGATATTCAGCATTCACTTAAGCTTGTTACAAATACCGTAGCTTAGATCCGGCCTGAAATGCTTTCACATCTGACAAAGAATTTTTTTTTTTCTTTTCCTATCTTACAAATACCATATCTTCAGCTGCAGAGGTTTGGGAGCTATCGTTCTCTGGGAATTCTTTTTATTTTGTCAGATGTGAAAACATATAGGTTTTCTATGTCTTTGGGAATTCTGTTTATCTTGATGTATCTCCCCTTGGTATGAGTTGTTGCTGCAGGTTACATGTTTAGTGTTCTTCTAAACTGGACTCCTTGTTCACTAATTTTGTACCGCTCCACATGTTTTTTTAATGAATATTTCTATTTCTTATTAGAAAAGAAAAGAAAAACATTAGTCCAGTTGCTATTGCAAAGTTTAGTAACTTAGTTAAATCTTTTTCTCTCCCTTAAAAAATTCAGTGTCAGAAATTTAGTGAGACTTTTATCTGGTAACCAAGGATAAGGGATAAAACGTGAATTCTTCAGTGAAGGGTAATCCGTTTCAAGATCTAAGGAAAAAGACGTTTAGGTGTTGAAGTTTTGATTAAGAGGGATGCACATTTATTGTGGAGAAGCAATTAGCATGTTGGCATCTGAAGTAGGTATTGCCATGGTGCTAGCAGGTGGGGTTCCCTTTGTGTTTATCATTTCACTGTGGTGTTCAGAGGCTCTTGTAGAACCTTTGAAGAAACATTTCACAGGGAATTAATTCTTTTACTCAAAATCTTTGCCTTGGGATAGGATTAAATTTCTGAAGATAAATAGGGTGGGGATAGGTGGCTTATACTCACAATTTTTCACTCATCCTCTTACCTATTGGGTTGGAACTTTAACCTCTGAAGGAGCCTAAATGTGATTGAAATTAACGAAGGCTTTCTTCCCCATTATCAATTTATCAAAGTTCATTGATTGAAAATGTTTACTTTTATTAGGCCAGGTTGATGGGAGGGCTTTCAATTAGAATTTTCTAAGACGTACAAATCTTGTTTTAATTGGTTGATTAATAAATTGTGTTTACCTATTCTCAAAACCCAACCCGACCCAACCCGAATGATTTGGAATGCTAGGATATGTAGTGAGTTACAAGTGCTTGTTTGGAGAATTACTCATGGGACAGTCAACATGTGCAACAATGTTGACTGTAGGGGGTCTGATATATCTCTTTCACTTTCAAGGTCTATTATGTGCAAACTTGAAGCAGAGGATACTGGTCATTATTGTGGAGAAGCATTGTTACTTTGGAAAACTTTTGGAGGAAGTGTTGTGTATTGGCATTTTTTTTCATTTGTTTGGCTTAGAATGACAAGAAGTTCTAGGATTCATACAGCTGACCCCACTTAGTGGGAAAGGGCTTTGTTGTTGTTTTGCTTGGAATGATAGGAAGTTTTGAAAAAAGGATGGAGGAGGTGTTAGAATTTGGGGATAGATCATAGTCAGGTTTTGGGCTTCCTTGTAGGTTTTAGCTGCAGAGTTTTTAGAGATATCCCTTTCTTTGTTCTTCTGCATGCCTTATGAGGAGCTACAGTTACTTGATTAAGGAATGTGAGAGGGATTTGCAAATAACTACTTGGAGTCACTAGCAAATCCCTCTTACATGCCTTTGTCATGATTATGTAGTGCATCTCTAGTCCCCTTTGTAGTCTATTTCTTCCTCACTTAGCCTCAAGCCATTGGAACTTGGAAGCCGCTCACCCATACTTGACCTTTATTTGTTCTCTTTAAAATATTGTTCTCTTTCTGAATTTTAAAAATAAGGGTTTCCATTCTTATACCAAAAATCAATGAAATTCTGGGCTTTTTTCCCCTGAAATTTGGTTTTCTTGTTATGCCAGATTATGCTTGATAGATATTGCATATGTTCTGAAGTGGTATTGTTGTTTACAGGGCTACTTCACCTCCTTCATTTGCTTTGGAGGTCTTTGTTCAGTGTGAGGGGGAGACAAGGTTCAGGCGCCTCTGTCTGCCTTTCCTATATTCTCCTTCTTCTTCAAATGTGCTAGAAGTAGAGGTAATTATCATATTGACACATGATAATGTTACATCCTGTATTCTGCAAAGTTCTACTCTTTTTTTTATTTGTTATCTTTTGATGGTTGACTGTCAATGTTGAGCTGATGAGTATGTTCCTGTTTATAGATATATTTTTTTAGCTTTATAAAATGTGCCAATTCCCTCCGTAAGTAATGATTTTAGGTCATCTTAAACTTCTTATGTAATTACTTCTTTATGGAGGAAATAAATTTCTAGCCTAACATTATACTAAAAAGTCATAATTTAATAGGTCGACAAATGCACTTAGAGAAAAAAGAGTTGGGAACATTTTGGTTTCAGTTTGTTTTGTTTCTGTTCCCTTCTCCTTGTCTTAGCTATAGGTGAACCTAGTTGTTATTATTGATGAACTGTCTCCTCTCTCTCACACACGCAACATTCATGGGTACATCGTTGTTTTTCTTTATTGACTATTCTCACAGGAGTCATTGCTTATCTGCAGGCCGTTGTAACTAATCATCTCGTTGTAAGGGGCAGCTACCGCAGTCTTAGTTTAGTCATATATGGAAACACGGCAGAAGATCTAGGGCAATTCAACATTGAATTTGATGATAGCTCCATAACTAATCTTGTTAGCTCTACTGAGGGAAAGCTTGAAGACCTCCCTCTTGCTTTACATTCAACTAATCTGAAAATTGAGGAATCCATATCAACTCTTAATACTCTATCTCTACCTGTTGCGGCATCAGATGTATCTGTTGAAGCTAAGCATTTGTTACAACTGATGTTGAAGGTCTGTGAGTTGCCCAATCTAGGTGATGCATTGCATAAAATTGTCGGCATTGTAGTATCAGCTGCCACTTCTTATGTCACCTCTTCTTGGGGAAGATCCAGTGAGTGTGAAGAGTTGCGCAATGTTCTTAGTGAGGCCAGAACAGAGCTTATGGAGCTCTATAAGGTCTTTAAAGGCGAATCAGGGAATGATTTAGCTGAATCACTTGAAGACAACGGGCTTTTTGAGTTTGAGGTTGAATTAGCAAATTCTAAACAGTTGGTGGATGTGTTAAGTCAGTACTTTCGGTTTAGTAGGGATTTCTTGAGTGTTGCACATCACCAACTTCCACAGGTGATTAAATTACAACTTCTTTCATTTCTGTACTCCATATTTTCAATATACAACAGATGAAAAGGCATGTGCTCTCTCTTTCTCTCTCTCTCTCTACACCCATGTGCCCACATTGAATGTGATCGATTTTTTAAAGTTGTATATTTGTTTTCAGAATACAAATGTCATGCTGGGGTTGAGTGTGGCTTTTCTTTTGTGCTCTGGAAGAGAAAGCTGCTTTCATTTTGTTACTGGTGGGGGAATGGAGCAGCTTGTACATGCTTTTTGTTGTAGCAATCAGAAATCTGCTGCTACTACATTACTGCTACTAGGAGTTGTTGAGAAGGCTACTCAGCATTCTTTTGGCTGTGAAGGATTTTTAGGTTGGTGGCCACGTGAAGATGAAAAAATCCTATCTGGTGCCAGTGATGGTTATAGTAGATTGTTAAATCTGTTATTGCAAAAACAGCGTCATGATATTGCTTCTTGTGCAACTTACGTCCTTCATCGGTTAAGATTTTATGAGGTTGCTTCAACATTTGAGGTATACTTCCACTTTGGTGACCCTGTTTGTGGTTTTACTTCTGTTTGTGCGAACTATAATTTAAGTGGTTTCTTATGGTAATTCCATTCTTTTCAGTGTGCAGCTTTGTCGGTATTGGGTGGTCTATCTACTTTTGGTAGGGTCACAAGTGGTACTTTGGACATGCTTATCTGTGCAAAGTCACTACTTAAAAAGCTGTTGGTCAGTTGTCATTTTGTTGCTTTTGGTTTTAGCTATGTAAAACCTTTGAGTATATTTTTTCAACTTTTGATGTCCCAGAAACCTGCATTGCAGTTTTTTTGTTCATACTTATTGACAAGTATTTATGCAGAAATTGATAAATTCACGTGGTCCAATTGAAGATCCTTCTCCAGTTGCCCGAGCCACCAAATCCTTGATTCTTGGTCAGACAGAAGGTTTGTCGTCATATAAAGCATCCAACAACTTAATTGCTTCTTCAAATTGTTGTTTCTCAAATTGGGATATCGACATGCATTTGCTGGCTCTTCTCAAGGTAAATTTCCCCATTTGCTCTTTCAGCTACTTCCTCAAAAACTGAGATATGGTTAATTATATGGTTTATTTGTATAGTCTCTATGTTGTACGGCCTGTTACCTTTTGTCAGTGATTTTAAAGGAGTGAAAGTCTAGGCTTGGGACCAACTTTGCTAGATTTGAAAACTATACGCCTCAGAGCATTGGCAGACCAAATAGAGAGTAGAAGTAGCATTTGCAAGGAAACTAAGTATGTGGTAGGAGGGATGTGGTGGAGAAATATAGTTTTTGGATAGACCTGACTAACACAGGGGTAGAGTTTCAGTATTTTATTAGCTCAATTCTATATCCAAATTGTTGATGACAGTCTATCTAATCACTTCAAACTAAAATTGCTTATTCAACTGCATGATCAAATTAACTATAATACTGTTAACTTCATTATCCAGAATCAAGTTAAATTGAAATTTCTCTGATCTGCTCACTCCCTTAATCAGATGAAGTTTGGAAATCAAGTCCATAAATTGTTTTCCAACTTTCGTATCATTTTCCAGTGCGTTCTCACTTTCTCTTTATTCCACAACACAGTTTAAATTTTGATATTTGTTCTTGTTAAGATTATGTATTGGAATTTATGTTGCAATTTGTGACTGATATTCTAACTTTTTTCTTTTTTGCTCAATGTTTATACAATACAACCATATTAATTTTTTACTAAGCAATGTTTAAAATACATTGGTAGCAGGACAAGGGATTTCTACCTCTATCAGTTGCAATATTGACGTCATCCATATTGCGTTTAGAAGTCGGACGTGTGATGGACATATTTGTGGATGTTGTGTCATCAGTTGAGGCCATAATTCTTTCCTTTCTTTTTTGCCGCTCAGGTCTCTCTAATGCTGTCCTATTTTCAAGCCACCTATCCATCAAATCCAGATCATGTTAATGATAATTATGACATTGCATGTTTTCTTACTCAGGCTTAATTTTTCTTCTGCACCACCCTGAACTTTCTGCAACAATAATACATGCCCTAAGGGATGCTGATGACGTGAATAAGGATGCGTGTCTTCCTCTTCGATATGCATCTGTTTCATTATCCAAAGGATTCTTTTGTGCTCCACAGGATGTTGGAATTATTGTTGGGGTCCATTTGAGGGTGGTTAGTCCTTTGGCTCCTTTTGGTTTCAAAATATTACGGTCTTTCAGCTAAGATTAGCAACTTTCTAATGCTTTGGTGCAGGTTACTGCTGTAGACCGTTTGCTTACTGCAGCACCAAACTCTGAAGAATTTTTATGGGTGTTGTGGGAACTATGTGCTCTTGCAAGGTGGAATGGAATTCATCTTGTTGATTGTGGGTTGTTTATACATGGTCTTTAACCACTTTTCTGTTATGATTTGCAGGTCTGACTGTGGACGCCAAGCATTATTGGCTCTGGGATATTTTCCGGAGGTACTGATGAATATGCGATCTGAAACCATATAGTAATAACTAACGCAAAAGTCTTCTTCCAACCAATTTAAACTAGCAACCCTATCATCTATGTGGAACTTATCTTGGCTTTTGGAAATATTTCTTATATATTAATGATCTACTATTGGTAACTCATTTTCTTATATTGAATTCTAAAGTTTTCATCTATATCACATATTATAACTTTGAAGTTCTGTTTTATTTTATTTGACTGGTACAAAGTGTTTGAACTTAGGTATAAGATACAAGCCAAAGAGGGTTTACCAACTAACTTAAGCAGTATTATGCAACTTTATTCTGGTATACAATTCTGATCACAAATGTGGATGTGTATGGTGCCTTTACAAATATCAAAATCTAACAAGGTAGTATCTGTGGTGTCTGAACAATAGTTCTGTTTGTTGTTCTTGGTAATCCTATTGTTAGATTATTCTTTATAGATACATATTTCAGTTTATTGACAAATGAATGCATATCCATTTTGTAGGCTGTTAAAATTTTGATTGAAGCTTTACATTCTGCCAAGGAACCAGAGCCAGTTGCTAAAAATAGTGGTTCTGCACTTGACCTTCATCTAAAGACTAAATCCGAAAGTTTGACAATATTGTACTTTTAGTTATTCATTTACACAGTTGGTGTTCTGGATATTCAGGAGCCCCGCCGTTAAATATTGCCATATTTCACTCAGCTGCTGAGATTTTTGAAGTTATTGTTTCTGATTCCACTGCATCTTCTCTTGGATCATGGATTGGACATGTTATGGAGCTCCATAGGGCGTTACATTCCTCTTCTCCTGGGTCAAATAGAAAAGATGCCCCCACACGGCTGTTGGAATGGATAGATGCTGGTGTTGTATATCATAAAAATGGGACAACAGGTCTTATACAGTACGCTGCTGTGTTGGCTTCTGGAGCAGATGCCCACTTGACTTCAAACATCCCACTGGTGTCAGATTTGGCTGATGTAGAAAATGCTGTTGGAGATACCTCTGGTGGTTCTGATGTTAATGTTATGGAAAATCTTGGAAAGTTTATATCTGACAAGACTTTTGATGGTGTTAATCTTCGTGACTCTTCCGTAGCACAGTTGACAACAGCATTTCGCATTTTAGCGTTCATTTCAGAGAACTCAGTATGTGATTTTCTACTTTTGTATTTACCATTATGGTGAATTTTTTGTGTTGCTCATGTTGCTCATGTTGATGTAGACTGTTGCTGCTACTCTGTACGATGAAGGTGTTGTACCAATAATATATGCAGTTGTGGTCAATTGTAGGGGTATGCTTGAGAGGTCCTCGAACAGTTATGGTATGTTGATCGGAATAGTTGATTTGTATGTATAACCACTAAAATTGTTCCCCTAAAAGGTTTGCAACCAAACTTGTCCCATCAAAATCACTATAGACTTGGGGGGAAGAGGTGATTTCATGTCCACTTCAACTTTTCAGTGTTAAGAGTTATCTGTATATTTCTATGTCCTTGCTCTGTTTATTATGTTCTGTGCTGTCTTCAATTTGGCTGCCCAACTTTTCCTCCTCTTGCTTATAACTTTGTTGCAGTTACAGATTCCTTTCATTTCTTTTAGAACCTTCTTCTCAAATCCGACACTTCCTATTATACAATATTCTGATATTTTAATGGGTCCATTTTGTTGGACTTTTGAAAAATTTGCTCTTATTTTGCCACCTTGAACAGATTACCTTGTTGATGAGGAGTGCAATACTACATCAGATTTATTGTCAGAACGTAATCGTGAGCAGAGTTTAGTTGATCTTCTGATTCCTACAATTGTGTTGTTGATCAATTTGTTGCAGAAATTGCAGGTTTGCTAAATTTTGTTTCTAGCTTCTTTATGATTGATTTCTATATGGGAACTTTTGTTTGATTGAGAGAAGCAGCAGTTCATATTGAAGCACAGTTGTGTCTGTAAAATGGTTATTATCTAATCTGGATGCTTACATGATTCATGTTAGAGAATTTGAAATGTTGGTAATCTCATTGGGTAGAACAACCTTTTATCTAGGGTGTAGTGTAGATGTGTTGACGTTAGCAGCTACGGTTTTGGTCATGTTATATCATATTTTTGATTGGCTAGAATCTAACTAAATTTTGAGAAAGGATACTCGGACTAGGGTTCTTAGATGTGTATTGTGTAGACATTTGAAGCTGTAGTTTTGGTCATGTTATATCATAGCATTGATTGGCTACGAATCTAACTAAATGGAATTTTCATTTCATTTTACCCCATGACTTGTAGACGAGAGGGAAAACTTTTCCTTCTATGTAGGGCAGAGAATAGCTGTGTTTGGATAGAGTAATTTGTCCATGAATATATCTCATTTTTGAGAAAGGAAGCTTTCACTACCTCACACTATTAACAAACTGTTAAATGGAAATTTCATTACATCCTACTGATCTGTAAAGAGAAAATGTTTGATGTTCCATCCTTCTGTTTTAAGATTTGGGGATTGCATGAACTTGCTGCCACCTTTTAATTTTGAGTTTGTTTGGGACTTAACCACTGTATGCTCTCACTAGTTGTCTGTTAAAATGTGGTCTTTGGACTGCTATCTGTAGGAAGTACAAGAGCAGCACAGAAATACCAAGTTATTGAATGCCCTTCTACGATTGCACCGAGAAGTAAGGTAACTGAGTCATCCTCATTTTCCTCTTCCCTAGGTATTTTAGTTTTATTCATATAATTTGACTGAACTTATTCAATTGCAGTCCAAAATTAGCCGCATGTGCAGCGGACTTATCCTCTTCTTATCCTGATTCTGTGCTTGGTTTTGGAGCTATCTGTCACCTTCTTGTGTCGGCACTTGCTTGTTGGCCAGTGTATGGCTGGACTCCTGGTCTTTTCCACTCCCTCCTTGCAAATGTTCAAGTTCCTTCCTTGCTGGCCTTGGGTCCAAAGGAAACATGTAGTTTGCTTTGTCTTCTGGTATGCATTTCTTCTCTGGTTCCCTTTCTTTTGTATTGTGGGAATATCATGTTCTTTGTAATCGATTTACTGAAAAATTTAAGATATGTTTCATATGGAGCTTGACGTAGAGCTGTCTAAGCCTTTCCTAGTCTCAGGATCATTTAAAACAGCAGTGGTTTAGCATGCCTAGTTCAATGTGCTCTTTAATAACCCTCATGTATCTGTAATTAGTGGTGCTTCCTCCATTCTTGGTTTCTGTTTATTGTGCACTTGATGCACCAAAGAGCATCATGTTATGCTGATTATTCACTTTGTAAATTTTGCAGTCATTCTTTTCTTAGCCGGTAACTTGAACTGTACTCAATTCGTTGGGTTTAAGTCTAAATTGTTATTTGGATATAATCAACGATTATTGACACATCTAGTTTTCTTTTCTGATAAATTTTTGTTTATTGAGTTGGTAAACCTGGCATACTTTGCCTAAACCATCAGATATGTTATAATTTCCACCTTAATGGACTGCCAAATGATGTGTGACACGTGTTTTTAACATGTTTCCTCTTGTGTTTTCTTCCTTTCTGGGAATGCAAGAATGATTTATTGCCTGATGAAGGGGTCTTGCTCTGGAAAAATGGGATGCCCTTGTTGAGTGCCCTTAGAAATTTGTCTGTTGGGACTGTTTTGGGTCCTCAGAAAGAGAGACAGGTCAATTGGTATTTGCATCATGAGCATCTGGAGAAGCTGCTCAGCCAATTGACGCCACATCTTGACAAAGTTGCCCAGATTATCCAACATTATGCTATTTCTGTATGTGATTTCTTTCAGTGAAGTTGCCTGTTATTTTACTTTTTGTTTTCTTTTTCATACCTCTGAGAGAAAAGAGTAGGCAGTGGACCCATTCTCAATGGATACTTGCCGCTTTTGTTATCTTGCACGACTAATGAGATCACTTTAAACAGGCACTGGTGGTCATTCAAGACATGCTTCGAGTCTTTATTATTCGTATTGCTTGCCAAAGAGCAGAAAGTTTTCCCGTACTTTTACGACCCATATTCTCATGCATTCGTGATCATGCTTATGACTCGCCTTCGCCATCAGATACGGATGCTTATAAGGCAAGTTTCTTGCCACTGATAAAAAGTTTAATAGTTTGTGTATTGTTGTATGTTGAAGTGTCCCCTCTTCTCTCTCTCTCTCTCTCTCACCAGGTTTACAGATATCTTGATTTCATTGCTAGCTTATTGGAGCATCCGCGTGCCGAGGTTTGCATTTTAATTGTTGATTTATTTTGTTACCTTCCTTTTATCTATAAAAAAATCATTGGATTTTCACCTCTGCTTTTCCTTTCGCAGGGACTATTATTAAAGGAGGGTGCATTTCAGTTGCTACCTAGAGTGTTGAATAGGTGTTTAATTGCCATTGAGACAGGTGGAATACAGAATCTCGATGTTAGAAGTTCAGCTGCATTTGGATTCGGTTTGCTCAGTTGGTGCCTCCCTGTATTCAAGTCCTTCTCATTGATTTTTAATTCTCAGGCATCCCTGCACCATGCGGGGAAAAATGATTTGTAAGTAGATAAGATACATAGTTATATTACCATTATTTCTTTTCTTTTTAATTGGATGATACAATTTGACCTTGTGTATGCTAAACTACTTCTGGTTTAATAGGAATGAATTTGAAAAGTTGACTACTGATGATTGCAAAATCTTTTTAAAGCATCTCCTCAGGTTTTGTCAGGTAACTCCCTTCTTCCTCTGTACCTGAAGTTGGATTAGTGTATGTTGGTCAGTGTGCTGTTCCTACAGGAGCTAGTTTTTGTTTTCTACCGGGTCTGAAAGAGTAAATAAGAATTGCGCTGGAACACAAAATAAGCAAATGCTCGGCATTCTGAAGATATTTGGGAAAATTGAGTATTGGAGATAATAATTTTCTGGGGCTTATGATGATTTTGAGCTGTTATGGAATTATTAATATGACAAGTGACTAAATCAACTTCACATTGCCGTTATGGAATTATTAATATGACAAGTGACTAAATCAACTTCACATAGTGAAATATTCACTCAGATAAGATAACTAATATCTAGACGAGGAAAGAGTTCTTAGTTTTATCTCTCTCTTATAAGAAAGTAACTGGGGAGAGATAGAGAAGCATAAAGCATGATGGACAAGGGGTCCATCAGAATCAGACAACTAAAGATGTAGCCGTAATATCCAAAACCTGTGCCAAATGGAAGAAACCAGTAAAAGATTTGGAACTTCTTATTTGATCCGTTGATGCTCCTTGCTTTCCAGGTTCTACCAGTTGGAAAAGAATTACTTGCCTGTCTTATTGCTTTTAAAGAACTGGGTGCTTGTAGTGAAGGTAAAAAAGCTTTAGCAGCCACTTTGTATCCTGCTCTCTCTGTTGAGGATCATGAATGGAGAAAGAGTCCCCCATTGTTATGTTGCTGTAAAAACTTGTTAAGATCAGTTGACTCGAAAGAAGGGTTGTCAAGTTATGGAATTGAGACTGTCAATGCATTGTCTCTGGGATCTTTCCGCTTCTGCCTTGATGGGGAAAGGTGATTACTCTTGCCTTATTGGCTATTTTACAAAATCACATTTTTAGTGTAGGCTTGTTAATTGTTGTATGTTTTGAGTTGTTTAACACTGTCAATTTGTTTGCCTAAAAACCATCAAGGTTTCACAGTATTGTGTTGTTGAACCATATTCTTTCTCCTTCTACTTGTTTTGTTTCACATACTCGGCAAACTTCAGAGCTATAAAAGATGACACTCCCTTAAAGTTAGTGTTTTTTTCATTTGTAGGGATTTTGTTGCTCACTGAGGCCAAGATGGTGCCATATATTTTATTTTTCCAATGGGCCTTTTGTTGTACAACGAGGCACATTGGCTAGAATTAGGAAGTACTGGGGCTATCCTTAAACAGATTTTGAAATGCTTGCAAGTCAATTTTGAGGATAGTGATTTTGGCATTGGTTGCCAAATTTGCATTTATTTTAGGTTTCACTAAAATATTATTTCTTAAGTAAACTTAGCTTTTTATTTAGAACCATTATATTAGAATTCTATTTGATCACCTGAAGTAACTTTGCTTTACAATTGTATGACCTTACTTGAACAAGGTTTGTGCTACCGGCTGTACCTTTCTGTCCTTGAGTTCTGATGTATTTTGGGGTGTCTCTATGCACATGTGCTATATTTATTGGTTTTGATTTCTTCTGTTCGTTATCTGCATTCTTTAAGCTTTTGAATGGTTTTTTTAATATCCACGTCACTGGTTAGACTTATGGCTTACTTCTTTGTTAGATTGAATCCAGACATGGTTGTTGCGGTAAAACTCCTGTTCGGAGTTTCTGATGATGATATAGCCGAAGCAGATGGTGTGCCTGATGGAAACTTGAGCTATATTTATGAATTGACCTCTCTATTGAAGACCATGGAGGCTGACCATATTGCTGACTCTGATACTCAAACCCCTTTGTATGAGGTATAACTGGTTTTGATTTATTCTTTCATAGAATTCTTTGTAATCTCCAATTGTTTTTGCATAGTATTAATATCTGACATCGTCTTCATCCATACACAGGTTCTAGAATCTGCGAAATCATTAACATTGCTGTTGCAGAAACCTAGTTCGTTGTTAAAGGTGGATGATGTCTTTTCTGCTGATTCCATTCCTCTGCCGCCAAATATTCTAGTTTCTTCAAATATCCATATAATGCCAGATGGTGGTGCTGAAATGGCTGACGATTATCTTTACCAAGGATCACTTGGAGACAAGTTTCAGTGGGATTGTCCCGATAAATCATCAGAATCAAATCTTAAGAGGAAACAGCCACCATCACTTGATGGCCCAAATAGGCGTGCGAGAGGAGAAAACTCCACGGCTGAGACCACAAATCAAAATGTGTTTTCACGAGGACTGGGTTCAACTATTGCGTCATCGGGGCCTACTCGTAGGGATACCTTTCGGCAGCGCAAACCAAATACCAGCCGGCCTCCTTCCATGCATGTTGATGACTATGTTGCAAGAGAAAGGAATGATGGTGTTTCTAATTCTAATGTAATAGCAGTCCAGCGGGTGGGATCTACTAGTGGGAGACCTCCGTCAATTCATGTCGATGAATTTATGGCCAGGCAAAGGGAACGTCAGAATCTAGTGTCACCGGTAGTTGCAGATGCGGCTGTACCAATGAAGAGTTCAACTCCTTTGAATGACACAGCTACGGAGAAGTTCAACAAACCTAAACAATTGAAAGCAGATCTCGATGATGATCTTCAGGGCATTGACATAGTATTTGACGGTGAGGAGTCTGAACCTGATGACCAATTGCCCTTTCCTCAGCCGGATGATAACCTGCAACAGCCCGCTCCTGTCATTCTTGAGCAAAATTCTCCCCACTCTATTGTTGAAGAGACAGAGAGTGATTTGGTGACTCCAGTAGCATCTAATATGGATGAGAACACACAAAGTGAATTTTCTTCTAGGATGTCAGTTTCGCGTCCTGAAATTCCATTGACCCGTGAACCAAGTATTTCTTCAGATAAAAAGTACTTTGAGCATTCTGATGACTCGATGAATGCTACATTACACAAGGCCTCTAGTAGTTTTGACTCTGCAACAGCAGCAAACAATCTTAGATTCCCTGTCTTTGCTTATAATAACTCTTCAGCATCTTCCATACAGATACCAGTGGGTTCTAGGATGACTCCACAGAATTTCTTTCCGAAGAATAGTCCACAGCGTGCTGGCAATGCTAGCAATGTGCCTCCAGGATTTTATGACCAGAGATTTCTTCCAAATCAACCTCCTTTACCTCCCATGCCACCTCCCTCAACTCCCATGCCACTTCCCTCAACAGCTGTGATATCGCAGACTTCTGATTCTGTTCCAAGTCAATCATCCCCTTTTATGAACTCTATGACTGATGTACAGCAGCCACTTCCAACACCCTTTCAGGTAAGTTCTATAGACATTTTTCTTCACCTGTCTCATGTAGCTGTCTCTTGCTGGTTTTTCTGCATTTATGTAACCCTTTGCTGTGCTTCATTGCAGATTCGTTCAGATTATCTTTCTGCATTCAATAATGGTTCCACATCTTCAAGAAATTCCATCTCTTCTCCTAGTGGAGCTGTCAGACCACCTCCACCACTTCCTCCTACACCACCTCCTTTTTCATCTAGTCCGTATAATTTAACACCCAATAGAACTATTACCCAGTCTTCAATGTATAATCAGACTAGTGCGGGAACAACTGAACTTCCTCAGAGTTCTACCACACCTTCAGGGGCCAGAGTGAATACCTACTCGCCATCGCCACACATGGTTTTCCGGCCTGGTTCTAATTCTATGGGTCTTTATGGAAGCATCCCAACTCAGCTGCAAGGCGACAATGCAACTGTATTGCAGAATCTCTCTATCGCTCAGTCTTCCGTTCAAGTAATTCATTCCCTTGGTCAGTTGCAGCCGTTGCAGCCACCACAGATTCCACGCCCTCCACAACCACCCCAACATCTTAGGCCACCTATGCAAGCTTCACAACATTTGGAGCAAGGTGTATCTATGCAGAACCAAGTTCAAATGCATTCACTACAGATTCTGCAACAGCCACATGTTTCACCTATGCATGCCTACTATCAACCCCAACAGCAGGAATTTGCTCATGCACAGCAGCAACAGCAAGTTGACCATTCGCAACAGCAAGCAATGCATCAATCAGGGGATGCTACGTTGCAACAAGAAGATCCCGCAATGTCATTACATGAATACTTCAAGTCTCCAGAAGCTATTCAGGTATTTGCTACTTAGGATCCTTGCAGAGTGAAAAGACCATTTCATGAGTTTTGAATTTTCCTTCAGACCCTTTTGTGGCATCTTTCTGCAAAGAACTTCAGTTTTGGAGCTTCTTCAAATAGATCTTTTTAAATTGTTTGGGTGCTTGGGTGGGTGGGGGGAGGGCATACTTTCTGCCTAAAGCTTTTAGATTTGTTTGACAGTGTGGCCTTTAGCTTTGGTCTCTTCTAATTATTCGTTTTCCTTCTATGGCAGTCTTTATTGAGTGACCGAGATAAACTTTGCCAGCTTTTGGAGCAGCATCCAAAGTTAATGCAGATGCTTCAGGTATTTTTTCTTATTGTCTTAGGCCTCCTCTATTAGCCTGCGAGTTCATGTTTCCACTTATCAATATTTGTTTTCTTAATCTGGAATAATGGGGAATCTGTATTGAGTCACCAAATGTGTAGGGTTTATACAATTGAGGCTAAAATGGTTATTAAAAAAAAAAAAAAAAGAAAAGAAAAAAAAAGCTATACAACATTAGATACTTTGAAATAACTACTGTACGAATGGGTTTGAATGAACTGTATAGGAATTCTTGTAATCACGTGTTTTGAAAATTGTCTTCTAATTCAGTCTTTTGGTATGCATGGATAATCTGATTAAGGGCTTGTTTGGAAGTGCCTTCAAAATGGATGAAAACGCTTTTGGTGAAAATGTTTATGGTACCAATCCTTGGAAAAATGCTAGTGAATCTTTGGAAAAGCACTTAAAAGTGCTTTTGGAGCCCAAAAACATTTTTGCTAAAAGCGCTTTCAGTCATTTTAAAAGCATTTCCAAACGAACCTCGAGTAATCTAAAATACGTAACAAAATGTCCATGCTTGAATTCTCTCCTCCCATATAAGTCCTTAGTTAACATGCTCATGTTTTCCCCCTCATTTTTATCTTGTGTATTTTTGGTTTTTGTGATCCCAGTTATGGAGCTTCTTTCCTCTGGATTTGTTTGGAATTTTCTTTTTATGGCTTAAAAACGATGTCTTGTCCTTGTTTGCCCCGAACATATACTTCTAAATTTTAATAACCGAGTCGAGACTCTTCCCTGTATGCGTTTTCGGTTTACTTTATTTGCTCTCTCCTTGTATGTTTCTACCTGGAGAATGTCATAGTTCTTGTTTGTTCTCTCTTCTCGGATACTATGCCGTTCTAACGCTCTAGATTTGTTTTATTTCATGTGAATTAACAGGAGAAGTTGGGCCAGATATAACGGAATGACCAAAGAGTCAGTATAGTCTCTCCAAAGCATCTAGGAGTTATCAAGTGACGATCCAAGTCTTGCAACCCCAAAGCATCTAGGAGTTAACCTTTGATCAATCATTTAATTTTGGTCCCCTGAAATTTTGTATTGATAATGTTCTATAAAACTGTACATTATTATTTTCCCACCTTGATAATGTCATTCAACAATATAAGAAGAGGTGTAATATTAGTGTAATTCCTTCATGAAAATGTCGATATATCAACGAATGAAAACGATTTAAATGATTTTTGTAGGCATGATTTTCAAATGGAGATTAAGAGATTAAACGGTTTCGATTATAAAAGTCTGTGATAAGGATATTTTATTTGTAAGTGAGAAAATAAGTACATCCCCCTAGAGAGGAATGCAAGCATTATCCTTTCCGTAATTAATCATACTGGCAAAAAACTTGAGCGAGATGACAACAAACTTAACAAATTTGTTTGAATCGGAAAATCATAAATGAAATAAAATGAAGACAAAACTACTTCAAAATATACCAATAAAGATGTGTATATTAAACTGATGAAAGAGTCACCGTTTAACGAGAAGGGGTTTTAGTTTCACTTGCATGGTTGCATGGATGCATGGATATGGATTGTGGAGGATACAAGCGATAATAAAAAAAGGAAATTCGAACTTAAAATTTCAAATGAAGATAGGAAAGAGAAGAAACAAACTCAAAACTCAGTGCAAAAATAGATATTTTTAACTAATAAGCTGCAGATTAATTGAGAATTCTCAATTAGTAGTAAAGTTGGAGTTATTAGTTATAATTAAACATATAATATAGAAGGCCGTCTGGTCCTCAAGGTACCGTTTGGTACGTGAGACGGGACGGAACAGAGTGGGACAAGGCGTTCTATCCCACGTTTGGTGCGCCTAAAACGGGTGGAACGAGCTATTCCACGGGACAAGTTTTGGGTGAATTTTCGTTCCACCTCACCCTCCTGGAACGACTCGTTCCACATGCGTGGAACACAAAATTATAACCTCTCCGTCTCCTTCTTCTTCCTCCTTGTTTCCATCCGAGGGCATCTTTGCTCCTGCTCTGTTCTGTTCCGTCCTGTCCCGTCCCGTCCCGTCCCGTCCCATCCCATTCCGTTCCGTCCCGTCCCGTCTGCATACCAAACGATACTAACCATTACCCGTTTCGAGGGTTTTGCTTCCTTCATCTCTGTCACGACTCGTGAGTCACGAGTATGCATGATCATGGCACCAATAACCTCGTGCTACGTGTGGCAAAGACTGACACCCGCTATCAGCCTACGGTGATGTGACATGTGACATAGTTACAGTCTCTCATATCCCTAACTCCCTTTACGTCCTTAAGAGCAACTCCAGCAGAAGCTGGAGCCCGATGAACTAGCGACAGAAATGACCCAATAACCCCAGCAATCTGCTCCAGTCCATGCAGGCAATGAGGTTCGGGGGAGGCCCGAGTGAGAGGCCAGACTCGAATTGGTGGCCTGAGAGCCTAAGGCCATATGATGCAAGGCTGATGTCGGCCACATTATAAAATTAATAAAAAATATGAAAAAATAACAAACAATTAAAAAAAAATCCGAAATTTTTTTAAAAATTAAAAAAAATATTTAATTTTTCTGTAAATATCTTATCATTATCTTCCACCTTACACCATAATTTTATATTTTCTCAAATACTTTGGGTTGTAATTCCTTATTTAATGAAACGTGGTATAACGAGACCGATTAAAAATCATATCCGAAATTTGAAATAAAATTATTTTTTTATTATTTTATAAAATAAAAAATACTAATATTTTATTGCCTATTGCCATAGCTATTTAGTTTAGGGGTGGAGATGTAAAAGGCAGTTACTGTTCATTAAAGGTAGTTACTGTTCACTGGGGGGATTCAATAGTGAGTTGCCCTCGGGGGCCTTTTCAATGCTAGAGTTGCTCTAATGCCAACGAAATCTCATGTGCACGGGCGCATACCACAGTCAACATTTCTATATAACAAACTTCCCTTTTACTTTATACCGAGGGTAGTGTTAGGTAAACTAAATTTGTAAAATTTACAAACTAAATAATGTTTCAGCAATAAGAAATAAGCACGTTAATCAACACTTAAGTAATAATTCAATCATCAACTTTCATGTCATTTAATTTATAAAATTTTGTTTACAAATTTAGTCTCTCTAACATTACCCTTATACTAATTGCCTTAGAGTATTTAACTCAAAATTAATTGGAATTTGCTATTGACTATATATTTGGTTTATTGACGATGGTCGATCTTAATTTTATTAGAGGGGGATTCTATTCAAATCTCATTTTACTGAAAAAAAAATCATTTGACAATTAATACACATCCTCATACTTGGCGTGGCTTAAACCACATGACATAATTACACAATACAAATTAGGCCTATTTTGATACTTTGATAGAACTAGAACATATTTCTGATCCAAAGTCAATTAGCAATCGTTTAAGACCATAATTATACGTTGAAATATCAAAATTTACATTATCAATGTGAGAAAATCTCTCAACACATTAGTGTGCAATATGCACGGGGTTGTGTGATCTACACAATTGCTTTCTTAATTATATTATTACTATATCCCATATAAGCGTATAGACTGTACTATTTGATTTACAAGCAACCCAACTGAGCCTTCTCTCTCTCTCTCTCTCTCTCTCTCTCTCTCTCCCCAACTCTGCAAGGAAGAGGGTGTGTGGGAAATTTTGATGAAGCCTATGAAGAATTGGGTTATTGGTGATGGAGAGAGCAGGATGGAAACTAAACGATGATCATCATCACATATCTCCCAATTGTCCCAGGTATGGTTGTTCTAACACCAAATTTTGTTACTACAACAACTATAGTTTAACTCAGCCAAGGTACTTTTGCAAGGGCTATAGGAGGTACTGGACCAAAGGTGGATCCCTCAGGAACGTCCCTGTCCAAGGCGGCTGCCGTGAGAATAGAAGAAGGTCCAAGTCTTTAAGGCTATCCACCATCACCACCACCACCACACAAGGTCACGCACAACACAACGCTAATAAGAGTAGTGCCAATACTTACGAGGGTGCTCATAATTCCTATGGCACCAACGTGTTGGGTGATTCCACAAGTTCCTCGATGACTCAAGATGGGTCACATATTGATCTTGCACTTATTTATGCAAATTTCTTGAACCAGAAGCTAGATAATTCAGATAGTACTACTACATCTGATCGTCAACTACCAGAATTGCCTAGCGAATTCAACCCGGCAGCTGTAGATTTTTCAAGCATGGCGTTCAACATGAACAATGCAAGTTCAGATAACACTAGTACTCAGTTAATGGGTGATCTTCATCATCAAAATGGTCTTGTTGGGTCACTTGGATGTCACACTACTCTATCTCAATATCACTTTTCTACTGAAAATTGTAGCATCAATGACTGCATGTACTTTGGTGGATTAGACCCATTAATTCATCATCCAGAGAAGCATCGTCATCATCAAGATACAAGTGAAGTAGTACAATATGCAAGCGATTTCGGGTTGCCGCCATTGCCAGGCCAAAATGCATTGTGGTCTACTACTTCTCAAATGATGGATAGTGGTAGTCATACAATGTAGGCTCCTACATCGCTATTAGGACCAGAACCTCATGATCCAAACTTGTTAATGGGTGGTTGGAGCCCGTTTGACTTGCCATGTAATGAAACTTTCTCCAGGAGTACATGACGAGAGAAGAAATGTTGTTCATTGTGTTCATTTTGTTTTAAGGGTTATTATACAAGAAATGTTGTTCATTGTGTTCATTTTGTTTTAAGGGTTATTTACAAAATGGTCCCTAAGATTTGCATGATCAATTGAAATGGTCCCTGAGATTGTCCACCATTCATGATTTTGGTCCTTCCGTTAAAAACTCTTTGGGCAATTTTTAAAGCTTCGTAACTCAATCGTTTCTTAACCAGATTCGGCCCATAATATATCAAAATGAAGATAAGAAAGTGTAGAACAAGATTATACCTATTTGGAAGCCCAATGATTGCCGTAGATAGCCGGAAAATAGCCTGAAAGGTGACTGGTCTGCGGGAAAACTGGAAAATTCACCGGAAACTGGGTAAACTTTAAACGTTCATAACTTCTTCAATACTCAACGAAATTGAGTGATTCAAAAACTGAAATCATACTTCTCAACAAGAAAAAGAGAATGGTATCTTTTTTACTGCTAAATTGCCGTGGTTTGGCTGGAAAACTGCTCGAAAATGGCTAACTCGAAAATGGTTAGCCACTTTCGAGCCGTTGTCCGACCAAACCATGGCGAGTTAGCCTTTGAAAAAGGTACTATTCTTTTCATCTCGTCAATAAGTATTATTTTCGTTTTTAAATCACTCGATTTGGTTGGGTATTGAAGAAGTTATGAAGGTTTAAAATTTACCCAGTTTCCGGCGACTTTTCCAATTTTCCCTCGGACCAGTCACCTTTCAGGCTATTTTTTGGCCATCTAAGGCAAACATTGGGCTTCCAAATAGGTATAATATTATTCTACACTTTCCTATCTTCATTTTGATATATTATGGGTCGAATTTGGTTAAGATACGATCGAGTTACAAAGTTTTGAAAATTGCCCAAAATTATTTTTGACGGAAGGACCAAAATCATGGATAGTGGACAATCTCAGGGACCATTTCTATTGATTTTCAATCTTAGGGACCATTTCTATTGATCATGCAAATCTCAGGGACAATTTTTTATAATAACCCTTGTTTTAATATACTATGGATATGATTAATTATGTATAGAATAGATTAGAAATTAAGAATCACACCGTGAATAATCTATAAATATAAATATGATCCTTTTACTTAATTTTTTGAATTATAAACTCTGTTCACAATAATGTGGTAATACTAATTATGTACGCGTTTCATTCAAGAAAAATAAATGATAAGAGGATTTTAATATTTCAAATGCCGAAATCAAATAACGACTATATATATATATATTGTTCAAATGACGTACAACATATTACCGAAATCTAAAAGAGCGATCATTCCACCGATTGAAATTTGTGTTTTCACCATTTCAGCCAAGAACCCTTCATTTAAAACCCAACCAACAATTTCCATTTCAATTTTAGTGTGTGAAGCACATATGTAATGCAGATTATTCAATTAAACTACCGAAAGGTATTTCTCGATCGATGTATCTTTATCAGTTTAAGAGTGGATTATTTATAGCTATCTAGTTTCTAAGTTACTCTAGGATATCTTTTCCAAAATTCATGCATTGCCCAAATGAAGCTCCTATATAGAAGTTTCTTTAATTTGTAAGTAAATACACGTTTCTATTA